CATCGCCAGGTAAGTGATGGAGAAGTATAGAGAAAAGCGCCGACCCTGCCAGCTAGCCTTTCCGACCTGGAGAAGGCATTTGGCCGTCTACTGCGGGCACTATTGTGGGGAGCGCTCAGGGGACGGGACGTGCTAGAACACCTAAACTCTCTGGTAAGGGATATGTAAGATGAGGCTAAGGCAGCCATACCCACCCCACATGGCCTAACAAAGGAGGTTAACATGGAGGGCATCAGCAACGTGGAGGGTTTACGACACCAAAATATTACCTATAAACGAGTTTTACAACGGATCTGGTAGATTCAGTCATGCCCCATTCTGGGCGCCAAATAGTGCCAATTCAGCGCATCGCTCAATGGACCTCACATTCGTTATCAGGTATCCTCGATAAACCTCTATGGGAAGTTTCGCGAAAAATTCTTGCCCGTCTCCCCCTATTGGGGTTGTAATAGTGCAGTAGTGCAAAGCTCTACTACTGAACCCCCTTCCCATAAAAGTCGTTCAACAAGAAGTGGAAGTTAAAAAATTCGTTACAATGAATGCCTACCGACGGAATTTGAGCAAAAAGCGACGAATTTCGTCATAAACTATCGCAGGATCAATTTGACTGCTCGTACAATGAAGCTTGATGAGCGATTGGCGAACTCGAAGCTGGAGAGCTGGTCCGATCCCCCAGTAAACATCGCGGGTACTATGCATGAAGGGCAAACATATGGGGTGCCATTGCATCGGCCAGGAGCCATAGTGATGAAAGTAACAGACAAAAGCGCCGACCCTGCCAGCTAGCCTTTTCGACCTGGAGAAGCCATTCGGCCGTCTACTGCGGGCACTATTGTGGGGAGCGCTCAGGGGACGGGACGTGCTAGAACACCTAAACTCTCTGGTAAGGGATATGTAAGATGAGGCTAAGGCAGCCATACCCACCCCACATGGCCTAACAAAGGAGGTTAACATGGAGGGCATCAGCAACGTGGAGGGTTTACGACACCTCGGAAGCTATCTAGCTGCCGACGGCAGTGGAACCAGGCAGTAAAAGCACGAATCGACGCGTCCCGGATGATGTGGAGGGAGTTCACTGGGATCCTCTGTGCGAAGACGCTCTGGAACATTGAAAGGAAAGGTGTATCGGGATGTGATAAGGCCTGCGATGCTGGTCCCTGAGCAAGAATCACGAAAGACAGCTGCACTCCCCTGAGATGAGCATGCTGAGATGGGCCTGCCGTTGGGCGCGACTGGACAGGGTCAGGAGCGAAGATGTCAGAGTAATCATGCAGACTGCTTCCCTCTAAAGGTAAGGGAGCAACGACTGCTATGGTATGGGTACGTGCTAAGAATGCACAGGACCGCGAGGAGCCGGTAAGAGGTGAAGGGACGTTATCAAAAGGACTTCATTAAAATCATGGTCACAGCTGAGATGCGCTGGGCAGAACAAAGTGGCGACGACTAATAGAGATAGCAGACCCTCCGACTGCCGGGACACACGCTAGGAAGAAGAAGAAGAAAAAGAGCCGTGGCAAAATGGCGCCAATTTTGCGCCAGCGCTAAAAATGGATGTCACATTCGTGATCAGAGCTCTCGATAACCCCTGTAGGATAAGTTTCAGCGAAATTTTTTCGCCGAAATTGATTGCAAGGTTTACGAAATTGCTTGCAAGGATGACGAATTAGGCGTTAAAATGACAAAATCGGTTGCAACGTTTACGAAATATGCTGCTTTGACGAAATTGGTTGCAAGGTTTACGAAATGGGCTGCAACGTTTACGAAATATGCTGCTTTGACGAAATTGGCCGCAACGTTTACGAAATGGGCTGCAACGTTTACGAAATATGCTGCTTTGACGAAATTGGCCGCAACGTTTACG